ACGATCCGAGCCCTTCATTTCATTTTTTTCAATCTCTATATTCCATATTTTTTTTCTTCTTAAACTTCTGTTAAGTTGTACAATGACTCCTAATATAAGCAACATTGTTGATCTTAGTTCGAGTTCAATGGATTGGAGAGTTATTGTAAGAGTAATGTTGTTGTGGTTTGCTCCGCATTACGAAAACAAAGATGAAATAGTTAGTCTCGACATGCTGCTCATGGACTCTAAGGTCATATGCAAAACTATTTTTTTATATGATTTTCATTTTTTATCATTACTACTTCTGCAACATATTTGTGTATTGTTGATAATTTATATATGTATATATATAATTATGGCAGGGCGGCAAGATAGATGCCACGATAAAAAAACAACATATGAATAAGTTCAAAGCTCTATTGAAAGAAGGAAAAACATACATGTTATGCAACTTCATGCTTGGTCCAAATAGTGGGAATACTCGAATCACTACGCATCAGTACAAAATTATAAGCATTGGAACAACCACCATCACATCATTCGGTGCTGAACAATCACCATCACATCATTTGCTCATAAAATCACTGGGTACCCATTTCGCGTCTATTGTTGAAGAAACTTATCCAAATTTACTCGCTAATATCCAAATTTACTCGCTAATACTATTACATATTCAGGTTTGTCAAACCATGAATTAAAGCTGAAGAGAGGTGTTCCTGTTATGTTATTGAAGAAAATAGACCAGTCATTGGGTTGTATAATGGTACAAGATTAACCATTACTCGGTTGAAAAATCGCGTTCTGTAACAAAAAATAACAGGCTCTAATGTCGGTAGAAGGTCTTCATTCCAAGACTGTCGTTAACACCGTCAGACAGTAGAATTCAGTTTCACTTTCAGAGGAGGCAGTTTCCAACTATTCTCTCCAAAATGTTTGTCTATATCTTGAAAAGCATGTTTTCTCTCACAGATAACTGTGCGTAGCTATTTCGAGGGTTACTGGTCGAAAATGTTTGCAGATACTTATAGTTGACAAAGAAGTATATACTTCAAATAATACAACAAACGTTGTTTACAAAAAAATATTTCAAAATTTAAGGTATTTTTTTATTTATAGTTTTTCACATTACGTTTTTATATCAGCCTTATATTCAACTCTGCATAATGTGTTTCTATTATTTTGAAGAGTGTGAAGATGTAATATAATTAAAATAAATGCATTGCCTCTCCGTTCGAATTGGCACACATAATCAAAGGTTACTTTTTTTTCCATAAATTTGTTTCGTATTTTTCCTTTCAATAATTTTTTTTTGTGTTATTTGAACTCATATATGATGTTATTGGGAATTGTTAACCTGCATTAATGTCTTGGGTACCGGTGAAGTGCAAACATTTTCTGAGCGGTTAAAGTGAGATTTTTTAAGTGCCTTTTTTATCAGATATTTGAAAGTGTAAAGCAGCAAATGTGCATTCTATTTGTGACAATTTGTAGTTTGTTACTGCAATTTAAAAACTATGTTATTGTTATATGATTTTATTGAAATATGTAATCTCGTGCAACGCACGGGTTTGATTACTAGTTACAAATTAAAAACAAAACTTTTACTATTTATCGCAAAACCCCCAAAAAAGAGAAAACTGAAAATCCAGAATCAAATACTAAAATCGACAAAAAAATCATAATTTGAAAGAACGCTAAAAATTATCAACAATCCACAAAAAAATACACCTCATTTTAACTTGAAATCGTATTCATAACCTTCTAAGTTCATTGATTAAAGCGGGCTAGAAGAGTCGTTGCACACTCAAGTTATGTACATGATTTTATTAATTCCAGTACTATAAATATGTATAACTGCTAGGATGTCACAACTTTCATCACTAAAACAATTTTCGACAATTTTCTCTACTTTAGTGATATTAGCTTATTTTATCGTATTGTAACTAAGGGTGCAATTCGGAATGCAATTTTTAATTACCATCGATTTCAATCCGAATGTTTTCGATTTTGGAACACTTTATTCATCTTGATTTCCGACTTTTTCGATTATTTTTGGACCATAGTTCGAAGTATATGTCGAAATTTTGGAATTTTAAAATTTTGATAAAATTTTATTCTTCAGATAAAATTCCTAATTTGCGATAGTTTTTTACTATATCTATATTATATATAACTAGAACCTCGATAATCAATACCAGATTTATTAATAACCTCACTTGAATAATATTTGTTCCGATCCCAAATCGGGCCGACAGAAAGAAAATAAAAATCAAAGAGGTCAATTATGATCCATTATGTCCAACTTGCACCCATAATTGTAACTTATGAAAAAAATTATATTTGAGGGAACAACACAATAAACGTGTTATCACCCAATTTTCATAGGGGTTGCTACCAACAAGCTCATGGTGGGTTACTTATTCATATCTAGGTCGACCTGCAAAACTCTTTTTACAAAGAAGGTCAAACAAAGTCCTGACGTGTGTAAAAGATTAAAATGTCTCTCGCATTTTAATATAATTCAGTTTTATTCAATTGATCCCAATTTTACTAATTATTCAAGTTTCACCCCTATGACAATTTTGACTCCGATCCTTTTTTTTTTTCCGCAACCGCCGCTGATCGACAGTCACAGTCAGCCTTCGGCGGCATCGAATGTTTTTATTTGTTTTGCGTTGACAGTCGCTGATTGGCAGCCAACGCTGGTCTCCGACGGCAACTTTTTTCCTTTTCATATATTATTTTTTGGTCCAGGTAAAAACTGTAATATTGGCAAGGTTGATAGTAATATTAACTATATTACTGCTTAACACAGTAATTAATGGGGTCGATTTGACAAACTATTGGGCTCATAAATATTTGGGCTTAAGTCTATTAATGGACCACGATCCAATAATACTATGTTTAATGGGCTCATAATTAGGTCAAGCTTTCAAAATATGTATGGCTTATAAATACACCACATTCTCCACGGTAATAGGTACGGTTTATTTACACACAATACACACTCCTAAACACACTCAATCACACGATCAAATCACAGATCTCACATCGTCTTCTCTATTCGTTTTCCTTATTATTTTACTATTTCTTAAACTATATCCCCAATTACTAATTTGAGCGTCGGAGGGTCTCCCCGTGGCTCAAGCCCCAGATTTCCGAGCGGAGTTATTTTTCGGCAATCAAGATCGGGGAAGGTGTTCGAGAAGAGCTAATGTTGGTGGTGGTTAAATTGACCTCCATCAGTAATATTGTTATATTACTATCTTGCACAATAATATTGTAACATTAAAATCACTATGTTACATAATAAATTCAGTGTACTATAATATTATTATGTTGACCGATCGACAAATGCAAACACAATAAAAAGTCAATAATTTAATATTTTTGTTATTGACAGTAACATTGTCAGTAATATTAAAACATAGTAATATTAATGAGGTTGAAAGTAATGTGATTGGCAACCACAATAATTTTAAAATGTTAGATAGTAGTAACTATCAACCACAATAATATTATTACGTTGACTGATCGACAAAAGAATAAAAATAAAAAATAATATTTAGGTGGTTAACAGTAATCTAATTGTGCTGAAAGTAAATCAAAAAGAAAAAAAAAACCAACACCGCGGGAGACCTGTGTTGACCGTCGGTCAATAGCGGCGGAAAACAAAAACAAACAAAAAGGGAAAAAAATCAACGTCGATCATCCGTGGCGGACAAAAATTCATAAAATTTTTATTTAGAAAAAATCAAAATCAAAATTTCGTGGTAAAAAAATGATGAAATTGAAGTTAAACTAGGGTTACAATTATGAACTGTGTTTAAAAGGCTGGAGATAAATATATCATAAACATTAACTTTGTCTATATTTATCAAGGTTGTAAAAAGCGGTAATCGGGTCAAAGGCGGTCAGGGACCGACTCACGATTAATGGGTGCGACGGTGATTAATCGGTGACAAATCGAAAATAAATCGGTTTTTAAAATTTAATATAATATATTTATAGATATTATTTATAAATACTCAAAACATATAAAAATATATTTAAACATATTTATTCTCCATCACTTACATATGCTGATAACATAATAAAAGTTTAATAATAATAAGATCGTAACACATATATATCCTTATAAAATATAAATGAGAAGGCAATTTTTTTGAATTTACATTTATTCTTGAACATTCTTAGCATACTTCATTAGTTTTTTAACAATAACAATTAACATAAACAAACTAAAACATAAAATCATATTTTGTTTATTAAAATCTCAACTTTTATTTTGAATTATAAAAAAAACGAGTTTTGACCGATTTATGGCCGATTTTTGACCCGCCATATAGGTTTGACCGCCACAAACCGCCTCGGACCGCCTCACAGGCAAAAAGCCGATTTTTCAAACTTCTACACTAAAATCGTAAAGGTTTTTGACCGCCTCTGCCTCGGAGACAGATTAATGTGCCGTCTCGGCCGATTTTTAGAACACTGATATTTATATGGGTTCCTTACAAATAAACCCATCAATGGTCCCGATTTTTGTAAACTTGTTTACAAAAATCTTCTTTCATAAAGAGATCCAGACAATAAACTTCTTTCATAAAGAGATTCAGACAATAAACGTTTTTACAAAAAAGTCCACACATGGTCCCAATTTTTGTAAGATACTAAAATAGCCCCTTATACTTTAATATGCTCCAATTTTATCCTTTAATTTAATTTAACCTCAATTTGACCCCAAATTTCACAAATTATTCAATTTTGACCAAAAACACATGTTTATGGACAATTTCGTTCGTCACTGCCATTGACCACCGGTTTTCAGTGTTGACTTTTTTTTTCTTCATGATTTTTTCGCCGGTTTCCGGCGTTGACTTTTTTTCTTTCTGTTTTTCCTCCTGATTTTTCTGCCACAGGTTTCCGGCGTTGACTTTTTCGATTTTTTTCTTTCTTTATTTCTTTCTTTTTTTCTATAATATCTTTTTTTCATTTAAACAACAATATTGCTGTGATTGACACTAATATGAACTATATTACTATTAAACACAGTAAAATTAACTATACTTCAGTTTAACACAATAATATTGCTATATTAATCTCTAGCACGGTAATATTAACACAACAAAACTCATTATTATTGTGAAATAGAGTAATATTACTATGTGACCGTTCAACACATGTAAACATAATAAAAAGTCAAAAGAATTAATATTATTGTGAGTGACAGTAATATTACCGTCAACCACAGTAATATTACAATAATAGTAATATTACCCCGTTACTCCGTGAATAACTCAATTAAACAAAAAAAACCCAAACAAAATAATAATATTGATGTGGTTGACAACAATATTACTATAACAACAGTAGTATTACCGTAAACCACAGTAATATTATTGTGTTTACAGTAATATTACAATAATAGACAGTAATATTATTACGTTACTCCGTGAATAACTCAAACAAAACCAAAAACCCAAAAAAATAATAATATTGATGTGGTTGACAGTAATATTATTGTGTTTACAGTTATTTTACTAATAACGACAGTAAGATAATTACGTTGACTTCTTATCAAATCAAACAAAATTAAAAAAAAAATAACAAAAAAAAAGTAATAATATTACGTTAATTTACTGTCAACGGCAGAAAATTACATAAATGTATTGTCAACGACAGTACAATTATGTTAATGTACTGTCTATAATTACATTAATTTACTGTCAGTGACAACACAATTAGGGTCAACGTTTAGCGGTTTACTTAAAAAAAAACAAAAAAAAAAGAAAAAAGAAAAAAACATTTAAAAAAGTCAACGCCGGAATCCGGCGGCCGAAAAAAAATGTCCAATTTTTTTAATTTTTTTTTAAAAGTCAAGGCCGAAATCCGGCGGCAAAAATTTTTTTGAAAAAAAAAGTCAAAATTGGATATTTGTGGTCAAAATGGATTAAATTGCGGTTACAATGAAAAATTGGGTATAAAGAGCTGGGGGGTAATTTTGTCATATATACATGAATGTTTCCTTTATTTATAATAAATATTAAAGGGATGAGCTTAATGGTGAAAAAAATATAACCCCTAAACCTAGAATAATAAAGATGTTTGGTTAGAAACCTATTCACAAAAACCCTAATTTATATTACATGTTAGAACTTATCGCCAAAAGAGATAAAATACCTGAACCATTTTCATATTGGATTATGTAAAAATATTATTTCTTCAAATTAAACAAAAAATGTTTTGTAGGCTTCAAGGTGTCGGATTGTCAACACCTTCGATCACCACCGTAGCAATGACCTTTCATCGTTAAGTCATTTCACAATTTCTTAGTGTTATTTTAATAAGATATCAATTTTTAACTGAAATGCTAATTGTAGCGGGACTTTTACTGAAATTAGTTTATTTGTAGCGGTAGTCTCATTTGTCAATTTTCTAACTTTCTAAAAAGAACGAAACTCTCTCAACTAAAAAAAGTCGAAAACTTTAAAATTTGAAAGTTGTTCGATAAATTCAAACCAAAACAACAATTTTTCGATAGCCGATCCAGATTACTTTTACAACTTAAACAAAAAAAAAAGTTGTATGGAGATCGTGCTGTTCAGCACGTGGAATATGAAAAACAAAGAAAAAAATATTTAAGTACCTGTCCCCTAGAGGACGGGAATAGGTTTTGGTTTCCTTTTTTCTTTTCCTTTCCTTTTTTTTTTTTACTTTATTCCTTTGTATTATTAACTTTTATAAGTTGGTAGGATGATGATGGTGATTTTGACAAAAAAATTGACGATGAATATACAAACGAGTACAATAATCCGAAAATATGTGTTATCATGTTCCTTAAATAATTACAAAATTCGATATTTAAAAAAAATATTAAAAAAAAAAATTAAAACTTTAAGTTCCTGTTCTGCAGAACACGGGAACTTGAATAATCTTCAAGTTCCCGTGTTCTGCAGAACGGGAACTTCATGTTTTTTGAGTCCTCCGTTCTGCAGAGCACGGGAACATGAAGATTATTCAAGTTCCCGTGTTCTACAGCACGGGTGATTCATATTAAAACTTTTTTTTCAGAAAATAAAAATTCAAAAAGCAGTTTGAATGTCCCGTTTTCTAGAGCACGAAACATTGAATCTCCCGTTTTTTGGAGCATGGAAACTCGAAGAAAATTCAAGTTCCCGTTCTTTGCCGAACAGAGGATTCAAGCCGTTTGAATCTCCTGTTCTGCAGAGCACGGAAAACTTGAATTTTCTTCGAGTTTCAGTGCTCCAGAAAACAGGAGATTCAAAATTTTTCTTTTTCGAAATTTTGCTAGATCTAATCCTAAACATGTGTTTTACCTAAATTGGAAATAAAACTAATTAAAAGTAGTAGGATATTGAAAATTTACCGGAATCGAGCCTCGTTTGCTACAGTTTCAAAGTCGAAAAACTTGCGAAATTCAAATTTCTAGAGAGAGTTTGGGAATAGGAGAGAGAAATTGAAAAAAAAAATGAAAAAGGTTCCGCTGCAAATAAGCCAATTTCATTAAAAGTCCCGCTGCAAATAGCAACACCCATTTTTAAAGCATATACTCCAAAAAGCATTTCTCCAACTAAAAATAATTGTTTTAGAGACGTGCTATTTTCATCCTCAAAATATCTTATTTCACCACCAAATTAAATATATTTTCTATTCTACCCTTTTGTTCCTCTTTCACACCATATTTTGTACAAATTTAAAAATTGTACACCACCAAACTAATTACAATGTTCACAAAAAACTACAACCTTATTGTTAGAATCCGAGAGGATTCTAATTTCGGGTTTTCAACACGTGTGTGAAAACCGTGTATAAAAACTAGGGAAGTTTCCTTAGTTCTTTTAACTCTTATTTTGTCATTAATTTATTTAATTGCCTAAGTGTTTTGTTAACAAGGAATTTTCTTGACTAAGACCTTTCTTGTTACACAACTCTTTCTTTCCTTACGTGAGATCAAATCTAACCTAATGGGCTCTAATTTTGTGTAGGGCTCTACTATTTTCTAAGAAAATATATATAAACAAGAGCATCAACGTGTGTGTAGCTTATGCCTTTATTTTGAGAGAAAAAGATTTCTCTTTTCTTTGCTGCTCCCGGAACGTCTTTGATCGAGAGAAGTTTTTCACAGAAAATATTCTTGGCTCTCGTTTTTATTGTTCCATCGTGATACGTGATTTTCATAGAAAATATACCGGCTTCAAGGCTTTGTGGTGAAGACACCAAGATTCAAGGAGTATCACAAGTTTGCTTCTTCTATACAAAAAGAAGATCGGTTCTTCGGGAGAGGGGCTTAAACAGATCTCGGGAGGAGATCGATCCGCCGACTGAGGGATTCAACGTTGAAGGGAGTTCAACCGTGCGGAGCAAGGGACGTGCTGCAAATTGAAGATTTATAATTCAGCGTAGTATACAAGAACGGCGTCGACAAAGAGGGAGTCTTTGTATTTCGATTAAGTCCTATTATTGTATTCGTAAAACTAAAAATTAGTAAATTTTATTTGCAGGTCCCCGTGGATGTAGGGTACAATTGTATCCGAACCACATTAAAATTTGTGTCTCGTTTATTTCTGTTTTTACGAACTGCTTCACGAACTGTTGCAACACTTCACGCAACAGTAACGAAAATCTGAATCTGACACAAATAATTAATATCTGCACGAAATAAATTCTAACAATTGGCATCAAGAGCCTGTCACTAGATACACTTAGTGAGATTTTGGGATTTAATTTTTTAATTTGTTTTGTGCAGATATGCTTCATCGTGAAGGAGCGTCTACAGTACGACCACCTCTCTTGGATGGATCAAACTACTCTTACAGGAAATCGAAGATGAAGATGTTCATCAAGTCCGTTGATGAACGAGCTTGGCGTGCTATCGTGACTGGTTGGACCCCGCCCATGGCTAAAGGAACGGATGGTACGCAAACGGTAAAACCAGAAGAAGCATGGACTAATGAAGAGATATTACTTGCCAATTACAACTCAAGGGCGATAAACTCAATTTTCAATGGCGTTGGTGACAATCAGTTCAAACTGATAGCATCGTGTGAATCAGCAAAAAAGGCATGGGAGATCCTACAAGTGACGTATGAAGGCACATCAACTGTTAAAACATCTAAGCTGCAGATGCTAGCCACGAGATTTGAGAGTCTTCATATGGAGGAGGACGAGACGATAGCTGATTTCCACGCTAAGCTGTGTGATATTTCAAATGAATCGTATGCACTAGGTGAACAATACTCGGAAACAAAGTTGGTAAGAAAGGCACTACGTTCATTACCAGAAAGATTCGCTTACAGAGTTGCAGCAATCGAAGAAGTGAGAGATATCAATACGCTAAAGCTAGATGAACTCATGGGTAAACTGCAAACCCAAGAAATGAATTTTAGAGCAAATATTCGAGAAAAGAAAAAAGTGAAGAATGTGGCATTCCAAGCTGAAGCTTCCCATGGCATTTCACAAGGCCAAACATTTCATGAGTGTGACATTGATGTTGAAGAATCCTTAGCAATTATGTCAAATAACCTCGAAAGCCTGCGTCAAAAAATTGAAAATAGAGAAAATTCCTCTCAATCAGGTAAGTCTGTTAACCCTAACAAATTTCAAAAGTTTTCTAATAATGGTTATTTTGGTGATGCAAAGTCTAGGAGAAAGCAATGTCGAGAGTGTGGGGGTTTTGGACATATTCAGGCCGAGTGTGCGAACACTTTGAAGAAAAACAAGATGTCACTCACCACTGTTTGGAGTGATAAAGAGGACAGTGATGAGGATGAGAACAACAAAGGAGATCAAACCACTAACTTTATGGCATTCAGTGGTACTACTTCGATGAGCAGAACCGAGGGAACTGTTGCAAAGTCTGTCCGACAGATTTCAGGTATGATGAATTATCTTTAAATAAGGACAATAGTCTGACTTCACCATTTAATTTTGCAGGTGAATCTGAGAGCAGTAGTGATGATGAAGAGCCAACCCTCGAAGAGGTGAAAGATGTATATGAAAAAATGTACCGGAAGTGGCTTGAAGTATCTGAGGTAAATAAGCGCCTTGAAAAGGATAAGCATGTTCTCATAGAGGAAAATAAAGTGTTGAAGGTAAGAATTTCTACTCTTGAACAAAATGTTATTTCTTCTAGTAGAGAAATAGATAGCTTGAAGGCTAAATTTGCTCAAACCCAAGATGTTATTTCTAAGTTTAATACTGGTAGAGCAACCTTGAATGAAATTTTGAACAAAAATCAGCCGAACTACTATCGTATAGGTATAGGGGGTAATCAGCTATCTAATGATGCATTGAAACACAAAGAAGATTCAAAAAGAAAAATCAATTTTGTTAAACAATCCATTGTTTCACAAACTGTTGCGACAGTTGCATCAACACAGTCATCTCAAAGAAAACGTTTTGTCCCTACCTGTCATTTTTGTCATGTTCCTGGTCATATACGACCCAGGTGTTTTAAGTACTTGAAAATGGTTAAAAGAATAATGGCCCGCTCACCACTTTCCGCTAAAATTGATCACACTTTTGTGTCGTCTCAAAAACCCAAGATAAAGGTTGATTTAGTGAATAAATCTCAACAAAAAATCTGGGTAAAGAAGTCTGATCTTAATTGTTTATCTGCCATTACTTCTTTAAACTCATGTGATGATAGTACTAACTGTTCCAACAGTTCTGGTGACAAAGCTAGTTTGGGGAATAAAAAACTTGGTAATCTAAATTGTGATAATTTGTATGCGAAAAATAAGTTTATGAATCCAATTCAGCATTCGAGAACTAAGTTTACTGATATTTGTCATCTTTTCATAAGGGGCTTGGTCAAAAAGGGGGTTGTCTCAATTGGTTATGCTGCAACGGAGAATGAATTAACTGATGCTTTTGCAAAAACCCTTGATGCACAGAAATTTGATTCCTTGCGAAAATCGCTGGGAATTTATGTTGTTTAATCTGATGCAGTTGCATGAACTGTTGCATTAGTCTGTGTGTCCAGACTTGCAACTTTTAGTGGTAGGACACTTCATATGTTTTTGCATCTCATATAGGACCTGCATTAAGCATACTGCATATGATTGAGACAAATGTGAATTTGATACTTCGTGTATTTCTAAATTTTGTGGGGGTAGAACTTCACCAATTCCCAAAATGATTACTTAAAAGGCTCCAACTTATTTATTTCTCTGAATAGTCTTGTCATGGTTGGATGTTTTTATAGGGAAAAGCTGCCTCTTTTAATGAGTGAAAGCTACTCTTGAACTACTGTCACTAATATATATATATATATATATCTACAACCATTTGGTGAGTGAATAGTTCGAAGCCTTTTTGAGTCGAGCTAGTAAATCACGTGGCCGAAAGCTCGCTACAAGGCTCAATTAGAAAGCCCAAGGGACTACACATTGCACGGCCATTATAAATTATACATATGGTCAGTGAATAGTTCGAAGCCTAGTCGAGTCGAGCCAGTAAACCACTTGACCGAACACTCACTACAAGGCTCAATTAGAAAGCCCAGGGGACTACACATTGCACGACCACCATAATCTCGTTCCTTTTAATTGCTCTATTTTTCATGAGAAAAAGCTACCATTAGACGTGTGTGTACGCTACCTAATAAGAGCATCTTTGTGTTTGACTTGGGATTATTAAGTTTATTGGTTGCATTGGCAGTCGGATTTTTGGGGATTGCGCTTATCGTGAATGTGAAGATAAATCCCATATGTTTTGTTTGTCCATGCAGTATCCTATTCACATCTGTCTCTTCACTCATGCTTATTTCTCATGTTTACTTCTTGTCTTGCATTAGGCATTATTAAAAAAAAAAAAAAAAAAAAAAAAAAAAAGAGAGAGAGAGAGAGAGAGAGACGGGATTTTTGTTTATGTGCCGGTTAAATTTGATTTTTGTTGCAGCCGGATCTATTGATTTTACTCCTCGCATTTCCACGTCTCATATGAAGTTTGGCAAACTCAGTAGTCTTTGTTATTTAATGTTGGATTTGATATCATTATCCTTTGATTTTTGAATTGCAATTATCGTGTGGTATTGAGTTTATGAGTTTGTGATTTTGTGTGCACGTCATGTATAGTGATTCTTCTTACTTACTTTCAAAATTCTCTCTACGTTTGATCTTTTTGTTAAGTGTTTGAACAGCTTGCTCGAATCATCAAGATCTTTTTGTTAAGTGTTTGAACATCTACGTGCACTATGTTGAGTTGTCTATGCATGGTGATTGCCCAGAAAGGGGGAGAAAAGAACAGTATCGATGGCATGAACACAGGGGGAGTTCCGACAACTGTTGCGACAGTGCATCAGACAGTTGCTGGAATAGTGCATGAATGCAGGGGGAGTTCAGACAACTGTTGAGACAATGCATCATACAGTTGTTGGAATAGTGCAGAAATACATGACAAATACGGAGGAATCCATTGTAAAGGGAAGCTGATTCTGCCACTGCATATTTTTTGTTGTTCTTTGCTAAATTGAACAACTGTACACTATCTGTTGAACTGTTTGATAAACAGTTGCAACTGTTTATATTTGCAGATGTTATTTTGAGTTTGCTGACCCTTGTTCATGCATGTATCATATATTTAGAGGGAGTAAATGTTCTGACCAATCAATGCCAAAGGGGGAGAGTGTTAGAATCTCGGTGGGATTCTAAGTCCACAACACCAAGTGGAATTCTATGGAGATGTTTATTGTCATTAATTGGTTTAGGTCTTCACAAGAATATAAAAGGAGGAGCTATAATGCCAACGTTATTTGCTGAGTCTTTTATCACGTGGGTGATTTACCACGTCGCCCTCCAAGTGTACAAAGCCAAGTAAGCAAAAGGGAAGAATGAAGTCATTTACAAGGGGAGCTGCCTAAGGATCATTCACAGTGGGAGCTGACTCCGTTGTGAACCACCTGCCGAAGCCACTACTGTGGGAACAGTTGCTGAAACTGTGGCACCTACTATTGCAGCAGTTGATGCCACTCTTGTTGTTGAAAGAGTTGATGATGATCCTTAGTTTTATTGCTTTCGTCTATCATCTAATTGTTTTATTTTCAGGTATTTGACTAAGGGGGAGGACTTGATTATAATAAATAGATGACAAATGGGGAGATTGTTAGAATCCGAGAGGATTCTAATTTCGCGTTTTCAACACGTGTGTGAAAACCGTGTATAAAAACTAGGGAAGTTTCCTTAGTTCTTTTAACTCTTATTTTGTCATTAATTTATTTAATTGCCTAAGTGTTTTGTTAACAAGGAATTTTCTTGACTAAGACCTTTCTTGTTACACAACTCTTTCTTTCCTTACGTGAGATCAAATCTAACCTAATGGGCTCTAATTTTGTGTAGGGCTCTACTATTCTCTAAGGAAATATATATAAACAAGAGCATCAACGTGTGTGTAGCTTATGCCTTTATTTTGAGAGAAAAAAATTTCTCTTTTCTTTGCTGCTCCCGGAACGTCTTTGATCGAGAGAAGTTTTTCACAGAAAATATTCTTGGCTCTCGTTTTTATTGTTCCATCGTGATACGTGATTTTCATAGAAAATATACCGGCTTCAAGGCTTTGTGGTGAAGACACCAAGATTCAAGGAGTATCACAAGTTTGCTTCTTCTATACAAAAAGAAGATCGGTTCTTCGGGAGAGGGGCTTAAACAGATCTCGGGAGGAGATCGATCCGCCGACTGAGGGATTCAACGTTGAAGGGAGTTCAACCGTGCGGAGCAAGGGACGTGCTGCAAATTGAAGA